GAAGGGATGAAACCACGTCGGTGGAAGGGAAGTGTTGGTCAATGTTGGGGCTTTTGATTCGGCTGATGAGCTGGAGGCCGTCCTGCTCTGCTGTGGGCAGCTGTTATATAGAGAATGGTTTCTAATTCGCTTGGGAAACTGACAGACATTGAGGCAAGCTATAGTAAAGGAAAATATTCCAAGTGTCTTTTTTTTTCACCTGCTCGGAATGCTGCCTAACGACGCGGCACCACACGAACAGCTAAAAACTGCTCTTTGCTTTCCCCTGAGAGCTGTGTGGCCGCACGTCACTGTCTCGGTGACTGCCAGAGAATTAGGTATTTTTTTTCCCTGCTTCCCCTTGTTTTTCAAGCACGTGCTCTGTCCCTCAAGCCTGACTTGATACAAAAACTTCTTGAAACGACTTACACCAAAAATGCGGTGTTTGGGAGTTTTAAGAATTATATATCCCTGACTTGAATTGATGTTTATGGATATTTGTGTCTCCAAGCCGCAAGGACACTTGCCGCTGCATTGATTACCCTGAATGTCAGCGGGGCAGTGCTTGGCTTACAAGTTCCGCATGAAACAAGGTAGCAGCCAAGCAGGGTGAGTGAAAACTGGTGGGAGCGCCCAGGAAAACAAGCTGCGTGCGGTGTTTTGTAGATACAGAACCGGTTCTGTCAGGTCAAGTTCAGGGAGACCTTACCAAGAACATAAACCTTCATTCTGATTCTCTTGCTCAAGGTCTTCTAGGTTTAGGTTTGTGAAGGCAAAAAAAGTTACTAGTGTTTTGGTGTATTGGCTCCATGTTCTGGTTATTGCTACAGTTATTCCTACTTTCTCATTGGGAACTGATAAATTGTTTTCAACAGAGAAACCATGGCTAATAAAGAGGAACTTCACTTGTGCAATATATGAAGCTGTTAAAGTCCTTCTGTGTACTTCCCTGTGTTCTCTAGCCTGCAGGATTTGTCATCTTCCTAGTTTTGTAGTTGCTTGTGTGGTTTTTTTTAAAAAAGAGGAAACTTGGCAAGTTTTAATGCAGAATACTGTCATATGACAAAGGCATGTGCATCTAATAATAGATATATAATAAAGTGATAGTATACTGATAAACATATTAATGTAAACCTCTTATGTTATTAATGCTTGCAAAGCAATAACAGGGAAAAATCTAAAGAGTGGTTTTAATCTGGTTTGTGAGCTTTGACTGGCAGAATCATTAAATTGTTTTGAATACTCTGATTTTTCTACTGCAGCCAACAAATCCATGCTTCCAGTCTTTATCACTTCCAAATTATACACCTACTCAATTCTTGAAAAGTAATTGGCTTCTGTTTGGGACAAGTCCTTGTCCTGTTTCAGGCATATACATTGTGACTTCCTTCTGTGTGTAACTTTTCTTATTTATTTCAGAAATGAGGGTTCATTAACATCAACTCTAAGAACACTTCTATTCTTCACAGCTCTAATGATCACATTACCTGTTGGGCTGTATTTTTCATCAAAGGCTTATTTATTTGAAGGTAATTCTATTTCTGCCAATTAGCATTATTATTACCAAAAAAACCAAAAAACAAAAAACACAATCCTCTAATAGCATCTTTGCTCTCCTTCCTGTTTTAAATATTTGTTTCCTTATTCAGACTAAAGGCCTTGTAATATTTAGTTAGAACAGAAATTAATATAAATGGTCCTTCCCTGGATTGTGGTCTGCAATCTAATACTTGCTGTTTGTTATACAGTGGCTTATATGGGTGCATCATTCCCCTTCCCTAAGGTGTCTAATCCACCCTGCAGCAGACTTAGAATCATCAGGGATGTGTTTCCTGCAGATCTTGCCAACAAATTGTGTATTTAAGACAGGATAATGTTGTTTATTTGGTTTAGTTTTTGCTTTTTTAGAAATAAACCTGCATTTTTTGGTGTACACCAGTTAAGTCCTGTACCCAGTTTCAGATACTGAATGTGGTTGCTTATAGAGCTTTCTTTTAATTTAAATATATATATATACATATATTAGCTGCATGCTTGGGGCGATTCTGTCAAACTGCTAACAACCAGCCACGGTCTGGCCTTGGTTCTGCAAGGCTTTAATAACTTCCTAATACTGCAGGGGAAAAGTATCTTCTTCAGAAGTGGGGAGGAGGGAGGGAGAAAGCAGCTGCTTTCAAGAGCAGTTTGTGAATTTATAACTGAGTTGTTACAAGGTAATTCTCCTTTGGTGTCTGCTGCTGTGTGTAGTTCTGAAGGCTGTAGCTGAAAGCTTGTGAAGTAACTTTCATGATACTCTGTAGCATGGGGGGAGGAGGGGCTGTTTGTGTGTTTTAACCTGAGATGTCACAAGCTGAGCCTTAACTTTGCTGTGTCAGGTAACAGAAAAATCACAGCACAGATAGGATTGGGTTTGTGTTTGGAGGGTGGTATTTTTGGTGTGCTGTGGTTTTTTTGGTTGCTTGCTTTTTGGGTTTTGTTGGTTTTTGCTTTGTTTCTTTACAGAATTAAGATAAATTATATTTTGATATTTCGGCTTCTGATATTTGCAGGCTTATTTCATGTGAGAGGCATTCATGTAACTGAACTGGAATTGCTGTTTTACAGTTTAAATATGGGAGGTAGAAGTCCTCTGAGTTTAATTCTGTTCTTCTGTTTGATTCTGCAATATTGTGGCAAATCAATTGCATAATTGTTGCCCTTACTCCTCTTTATTTTCCTGCCCCACAAAGAGAGTTCAAATTATGAAAAAAGGATATTGAGGTTTATTTGGTGCTGGAAGATAGTAACAGAAAAAGTGAATCTTCCACAATTCTTAAGCTGTCGACTTCAAAACCAGGGTGTTTTTTTAATCTTAAATGTTTTAAGTATTGAATAATTGCTGTGTTGCTTTATTCTAGAAATAGATTCATAGGTCTGTAATTATGGTGAATTCTTTCCTGTGAATCTTTCTGAGCTCTTTTGATTCAGGAGTAAATGTAACTTTGGTCTTTAGGGAGAATTGTGATTTGCCATTTCAGTGTTCCTAAGAACTAATACTCTTTACTCTCTTTATCTTCCCAGGTACCTTAGGAATGTCCGAGAGAGACAGCTATTTCTATGCTGCCATAGTTGCTGTAGTTACTGTTCATGTGGTCCTTGCTCTCTTTGTATACGTAGCGTGGAATGAAGGTTCTCGACAGTGGCGGGAAGGCAAACAGGACTAGCATGAAGATCATCACCCCCTGATGCTTACAGACTGTAAATAATTTTTTTTAAGCTGAAGGAAAAGCATTCCTCCACATGTATAATACACCTGTACAAAGATGAGGCTAATGCCTCAACTCTGGTTAGTTTAAGACTTGTGCTCATCTTGAGTGTATACCAGGGATTTCTGTAGTGCTGATGGAAGCTGTTCTTTGGCCAGCCTCTGCCAGGTTGAGCAGAGTGGTCTTTATCTGGAATTAGAATGAAGTACTTCTCTATTTTTGAAAAAATCCTGTAGCTATTTTTGTGATTCCTAGTGTTTATCTGGCTTGCTCTGAAAATTAACTTTGGCATGCAGCAAGCATTACATTTTCAAGTAATTAAATTGCTAGTTAAAAAACCTGCATTACTCAATATCCAACTACAGTGGAAAAGGTGGGATTTCACTTGGCTGTGCATAGTTTCCCAATCTATGGGTGTTGTAGTTTAACCCCACTTGGCAACTAAGCCCCACACAACCTCTCACTCACTGTCCCTCAGAGAGGTGGCGGGAGAATTGGAAAGGTAGAAGTGAGAAAACTTGGGTTGACATAAGGACAGTTTAATGAGTAAAGCAAAAGCTGTGCACCCAAGGCAAAGCAAACCCAGGAATTAATTCACTGCCTCCATCAGCAGGCAGGTGTTCAGCCATCCCCAGGAAAGCAGGGCTCCAGCACGTGTAATGGTGACTTGGGAAGACAAATGTCATAATTACAAACACCCCCACTTCCTCCTTCTTGCCCCAGCTTTATATTTTGATCATGACATCATATGCTCTGGGATATCCCTTTGGTCAGTTGGGGTCAGCTGTCCTGGCTGTGTCATCCCCCAGCTTCTCATGCACCCCCAGCCCACTCACTGGTGAGGAGCAGAAGAGGCCTCAGCTCTGTGCAAGCTCTGCTTAATGATAACAAAACCGTCCCTGTGTTATCAACACAGTCCTCAGCACAAATCCAAACCACAGCCCCGCACCAGCTACTATGAAAAAATTAACTCTGTCCCAGCCAAAACCAGCACAATGGGACAGGCATAAATTATACATTTCTGAGTTTAGAAGGAACAAAAATAGCATTGGTTATAAGTTCAAGTGATGTTTTTCTAATGTGAAATACAAACGTTTTTTGTTTTGTTTTTGTTTTCAAGCAATTTTTTTTTATTACAGTGTAAAATTCAGTCTTAAATTTCCTTCTGGGAGGATTGTTACATTACAGCCTTGCTCATCTTTTTGCTCTTCCACAGTTAACCCTAACGATGCAAGGGAAATGGCATAGCATATTCTTTGTATGCCTTTATATTTCTTTATCTCCTTGCTAGTTGCTAAAGGATCTAGTTGGATTTCCTGTGGCAGAGTAATCTCAGTAACAGCTGTAAGGCACTCTGAATGGCTAGTCGAGGAGTGAGCAAGAGAAAGCAAGCTGTAGCCATCTGCAGATGTTGTCCTTTATGAAGCAGAACACAAGAGTGATCACATGGAATATATGCTTCTCCTCTTAAAAATTGATTTGTACACTGTGAAGTATGTTCATTGTTTACTTTTTTCCTTTGTTGTGTGTAGCAACTTTCTGTAGTCAAAGCACAGTGAGATTTCTGTGTTGTTGGATAACCTGAATTTCATTTAATTGTTGTGCTGAAAGCTTTTTAATCTGTAGATAAAACATATTTCTTAAGGTTCCAGCAATGCATGGAATGTTCCTAACACTGATGGTTGCTGTTAAGCTGTTGTGCTTGGAGTTGTTCTGTTAATTTGAGTTTTCTAGCTTGCTTTATTAGTTGAGCCTTTTTTGAAACTGTTTTTCTTAATTTAGGGCTGGGAATGGTTTTGGTACTGCATTTGTCCGTGGTAAAACTTATTCATAAATGAGACAAAAAATGTTTGTCTGTGCCCAGTGACTTAAGGAATGTGTTCCCAGGTCTCATTCCTCCCATCTCAACCCCTGTCCCTAGGTGTGTGCAAACATATAGATCATGTAACACTAATGCAAATCATTTTTTACATTTTGTTTCCGAAACATTCACTTTTCTGATCCAGAAGTTCATTGTCAGGTTGCTGCCAGCAAACTGGAGAACAGTCTCATGGAACTTGAAATACAAACTACATTTGTATGTTGGCATACTGGCTTCCTGTTCTCTGGTGTGTGAACTGTACATTGTAGAACAAGTACTGCCTTTTAATAAAGAACTACCCTGCAATACAGGATGGAGTAAACAATAATTTGTGGTGAACACTTTGAATAATCTCTTTAATACTGCTCATGTCTTTTTTTTTTTTACTCCATTTATAGTGGAGAGTAATTGGGATCATAGCTGTCATGCTTTCGTAGCTCAGTGTTGTGCTGTCTTTGTGTTTCATTTATCAGAATCCCTGGACACTTAAGTGAATGTCCTAGGAATACCAGGGAAATGTTTATTGTATTGTTAGTTACAAAAGTCTGAAAAGCTTGACCTATGCTATAAGGAAAGTCCTTATCATGTCTCAGCTGTTGCGTGGAATGAGCTGAGCCTTAGTCCATCCACTGAAAGATCTTTGAAGAAAATGCTTTGATCCACAATGGGCCTCTTGAGAAAAGAAGCAACACAAGAATCCCTGCATAGTATCAGCCATGTACAGGGTTTTATGTTGCCTGTTTTTGAGAGCTGGAACAACCACTCAGGTAAATGGTGCAATGAAAACAGTCAAGTGGTGGAATTCCACCATTCAAAGAACAGAAACTGCAGCCATACAATGTGGAGTGTAACTGAAGTAGATGCCCTACTGGGATACCTCCTGTGCCTTACTGACACTAAGGTTTATCTTTCAAGAGCTTTTGTGGTATCTTCAGGTCAAGTGATTCCTGTTACGTGTCTGATGTTCCTGTTAATATCAAAACTAATTCTCATGGCCATATGTTGATTGTTTAATGGCCATTGTCATTCTTTTGGAGTTTAAATAATACTGTACTGGCATGGCAAGGTCTTGGTAGCGAGGGGACTACAGGGATGGCTTCTGTGAGAAGATGCCAGAAGTTTCCCCCATGCCCAATAGAGCCCATGCTAGTCAGCTCCAAGATGGACTTGCTGCTGGCCAAGGTCAAGCCCATCAGTGAAGGTGTTAGCACCACTAGCATAACACATTTAAGAAGGGGAAAAAACACTGCAGAATAGCCAGGAGAGAGGAGTGAGAATATGTGAGAGAAACAATTGCAGCCACCAAGGTCAGTGAAGGAGGATGGGGCTGAGGTGCTGCAGGCCCTGGAGTAGAGATTCCTCTGCAGCCCTAACTTGTGGTGAAGACCATGGTAGAGTAGGCTGCCCCTCTGCAGCCCATGGAGGTTAAAGGTGGGGCAGTTTGTTTCCCACCCTCTCTATCCTCCACCAGCAGTGGGAGCTGGTGCTGGAGCAGTTGTTCCTGAAGGAATGCAGCCCATGGAAGGATTGAACTGGAGCAATTAATGAAGAACTGCAGCCTGTGGGAAGAACTCCTGTTAGAGACGTTTGTGGAGAACTGTCTCCCATGTGAGAGTCCCCAAACTGGAGCAGGAGAAAAGTGTGAGAGACAGTGTGATGAACTAACCACAACCCCTATCCCCCTGTGCCACTGCAGGGGAGGAGACAGAGAAAACTGTGAGTGAAGCTGAGCCTGGGAAGAAGGGTAGAGGGAGGTGTTTCAGGATTTGGTTTTATTTCTCATTACCCTACCTGATTTCGTTGGTTATAAATTAACAATTTTCCCAAGTCAGGTCTGTTTTCCTTGTGATGGTAATCGGTGAGTGATCCCTGTCCTGAGCTTGACCCATGAGCCTTTCATTTTTCTCTCCTGTATCCAGCTGAGGAGGGGAGCCCTAGAAGGGCTTGTTGGGCATCTGGTGTCTAGTCAGGGTCAACCCACCATGTGTACAAATATGGAAACTGATAGTTTTGGAGACATCAATATTCTTGTTGCTTTTTTTTTTATTTTCTATAAAATGGTGATGCAAATATCTTAATGGTGTAGTACTTTTAAGTGGCACTGTGAGTTTGTTCATGTTATTACTAGGAATGGATTTGGGACAACTGTTGTTAGCAAATACCTTGAAACTGAGGTCATAGCAGAAATTTTCTGGAACGTTTTCCAAGGCTATAAATAGTAAAGGCAGTGGGGTGGGATATGGAAAATCGGTGACTTCTCAAAATTAGTTTCCTTCTTCTGTGCTTCCTATTTGTGTGGTTTTAATGCCTGCAGAACATAGTGATGGGTACCCAGCCTGGGAAAATGCAGGTTATCAGCTCTGGTTTGTGGTGGGGGGGATCCTGACTTAGTTAATCTGTTAACTGCTAGCACTGAGTAGGAAGTCTCCAGAGAAATTGGTGGTGATCGTGTTGTTAACGCACATTTTTTGTTGTAGCCTAATGTTGATTAATGTATCTGAACTTCAAACAGTATTTACAGTGTATTTGCAACAAAAACAAAGTTTACCTATCTGTTGCTATTTTAAGAGGTGGCCTAGTAATAACTCCCATTTGACATTAAAAACCAAACAGCTCCACAAAAAAACCCAAAACAAAACCAAAAAACAACAAACAAAGGAACCCCAACCTGGTCTGTAATCTTCATAGTGATAAGTTGGTGGATGCTGTTAAACTGTGGGCAAATTAAAGGGTGTGATTTTTGCCACTCTGCTGCTGCTGCAGCCTGCCCGACTAGAGGGCAGGCTTTTCCTCCTGGTGCCTGGGATGGGAGAGGGGAAGTTGTGGCGCAGGCTGAAAAATTACCTTCTCACTTACTGTGTTGGTGACCAGTAAAATGTTTTATGTGACTGCAATTTTAGCTGGTTTTGGACTGCTGCAGTTCTTATAGTTCAATTAACTGTGCTTGAGCTCCTGATGGCCCACACAGTTGGGCAGGGTCTGCTCAGAGCCTGCAGGAGGGGTAGGTGGTAATAGTTCAGGTGAGTAAGAGATGGGAAAGGAGAGGGTCCCTAAAATAGCCAACTAAGCCACACGTTTTATTACAAAATAACATAAT